CTAGGGCACCCAGCCCTGCAACTCTGGCTGTTGTGGGGAATAAAGGACTTATACGTAGAGCAAAGTGCTCAGAACAGTACTATGTAAATGTTATACAGTGTGTGTTGTTATCAGAATCACTATTAGTATTATGAAATGATCACATGAGAAACAGGATATTAGCATAGTTTCAAAAACTGAGGGGCATTTTTACAAAATAACTGACCAGTATTCTCAAAAGTTTGAAAGACAAAGGAAGACTGAGAGGCTCAAACATTAGAAAAAACAGAAGAGATATGACAACTAAATACAATGTGTAATGATGGACTGGATTCTGGAATAGAAAAACAACATTAATGTAAAAACAGGTGAAACTCAAATAAGGTAGTAGATTGGTTAATAGTGTTGCATTGTTGTAAATTTCCTGGGCTTGGTAATTATACTTTGGTTACGTCAGGTGTTAACATTAGAGAAAGCTGGGTGAAAAGTATAAGTAAACTCTACTGTTTTTGCAACTTTTCTGTATGTCTAAAATTATTTCAAGATAAAAAATAAAGAAAAAAGAAAGAAAGAGAAAGAGACCCAGAAGTGACAGAGATGATGCAACCAGTAGACAGGGACAGTAATGAAGTATTTAAAGAAAACACAATGAGAGAAATGGAAAGACAAAAAAAAGAACCAAATAGAGCATCTAGAACTGAAAATTCCCATATTTGAAATAAAAATTCACTAGCTGAGCTTAATGGAAGATGAAACACTACAAGACAAAGTAAACTTGAAAATATAACAAGAAAACTGTCTAACATGAACATAAAACAAAACCAAACCTAGAAACTCAGTTAAAGGATGGGTGGGCTATTATCAAGTGGTCTAACATACATGTAAATGAAGTCCTAGAAGCTGAGGGGGTGAGCAGAAAAAAGCAGAAAAATATTTAAAGAAACACTGGCCAGAAATTTTCCAAATTTGATGAAAATTACAAACTCAAAGATTCAAGAAGCTCAATAGACCCACAAACAAGTTAACACAAAGAAAACCACATCAACACATCATAATCAACTTGCTGAAAACTAATAATAAAGAAAAAAATCTTAAAAGAAGCCAGGGAGGAGAGGGGACACCATTTAATATAAAGTAGAAGAAATAAAAAAATTATCACAGATGTCTCATCAGAAATAACATGAGCCACAAGACAATGATTCTCTGACAGGATCAAAGAAGTTAAAAAATTTTTAGCTGGATTAACCAAGAAAACAAAAAAGATACACATGATCAATCAGGTATGAAAAAAGAAAACAACTACAGATCCACAGATATAAAAAAGATAATAAAAATATGAGAAACAAGTTATGCCAATAGATTTGACAACACAGACGAAACAAACACATTTCTTAAAAGACATAAATTACTAAAACTGGCACACACACATGCAAAAGAAAATTAGAATAGCTCTATATCTATTATAGAAATTGAATCAGTAATTAAAAACTTTCCTAGAAAGAAAATTCCAGGCCCAAATGGCTTCATTTGTTGAATTCTGTCCAATATAAAAGGAAGAAACAATTACTAATCTCATATAAACTCTTCCAGAAAATAGGTGATGAGAAGATATTTCTCAATTCATTTTCTGAGGTCAGTTTTGCTCTGATACCAAAACAGACAGAATTATTACAAGTAAGGAAAACCACAGACCAACATCCTTCATGAACAGAGATAACAAAAATCTTTAACAAAATATTAAGAAGTAAAACACAATACTGTATATGAAAAGAATAATACACTATAGACCAAGTAGGGTTTATCCCAGGAATGTAATGTTATTTTAACTTTCAAAAATCAACCATTATACTTCAGATATTAAAAGATAATCCATTATTAAAGGAAAATGACATGATCATCTCAATAAATGAGGAAAAAATATGTGACAAAATTCATATCCATTTCTGACAAAACTCGGTGAACTGGGATTAGGAGAGAAATCTACAAAAACTACACACATTGATCGATAGAAGGATTGAGCACATCTTGTGCCTAGATTTTGGTTTCTGAATATCACTCTCCATGAACAGGAACTCTGGCTTTTTAGGAGAAAGGCTGATTCACAGCCTGGGCAGAAAGAGTACAAGAGCCTGGAATACCCTGTCACAGAAGAAGAAACCCACTGGACAAAATACAAAATACAAAATCTACAAGTCCATACTGATATAAGTTCATAAATGAATAAATAAGTAGAGACAGGAAAGCTATTCCTCCTAAAAAAAAATGCCAGCTAAATATAAAAGAATACAGAAGAAATGAAGGAGTTAGAAAAATCATCAGTCGATTCTAAACCTTGTGGGTGAATTTTTGATGAGGAATAGTATACCTAAAAGTCCCAGAGTATTTCCCACAAATTGCCTATTAATTACAAAGAAAAAAGTAGTAACTCTGCAGTGGATAAACCTGTAACAAAGGTTACCACCACCTTAATCAAAGTGAACATCACTGGTAGTGGGTCACACTATTACTGAGATGGTGCACTGAGAAAGACACATTGTTACGTCTGTGGGCGCCCATAGGTATTGCTCGAATCTAATCAAGAGGAAACATTAGGCAAACTCAAAGTGCGGAACATTTACCGAGTAACTGGCCTGTACTCTTAAGTAATGTCAAGGTCAAGTAAGACAAAGACCAGGTGAGAAATTCTTCCAGATTGAAGACTGTAACAATAACGAAAAAGAAGTCTCAGTGCTAGACAGTTTTACCGTTTTCTTTAATATGGTCCAATAATAGAATATTCCAATGCAAAATTATTCCTTCCAGAACACTGGTCAAGATGGGAAGGTAGCATAATTCTAACACTGAAACCTAATAGCAATATTGCTTTTGAATACAGATGCAAAAATTCTAAGTAAAAGCCCAGAAAAACTAATTAACAACTAGATTTCACATGGCTAACCCAGAAGCATACACTGTGGTATTCTTTATATAATGTCAGGTAAGGGTTATTATAGGAACTCAAATACAGTTCAACAGTGATAAAGACTCCCTTGTCATCTCAAGAGGTGTCAGAAACATATTTGATACCAACCAACACCAATTACTAATTAAAACTTTAAGGAAAATAAGTATGAAAGGAAATATCAAAAATAGATATTCTTTATCATATTAACAACAGCTAGTGTCAGAATTAATGGTAACATACATTAATCAAATCACAAATCAGACCGATTGACTACTATTAATACTCTTCAACACTGTTCCAGGTATTCTCACCATGTTATAAAAGATATATCTCACCCAGGATATAAAAGATACAAAAGAGGTATAACTATTAGAATTGAACACATTTTTTGAAGATTATTATAATTTATGCATCAAACCCCAATATGAATATAATAAAAAATTAAATTAATAGTTCAGTAAATTGGTTATTTAAAAGGTAAATATATAAAAATGTAAAATTTTACCACAAAATAGCCAGTTAGAAGATCTAAAAAATAGATTTCATTAATAGCAACAAAAATACCTAGAAATATGCCTAAAAAGAAGTACCTATATGAAGATGAAGAAGCAAATGTTAGTGAAAGGTATGGTTAGGATTTTAGCAAATATAGAGAAATACTATATTCCTGAATAACAAAAAGGAATTTTATAAACATGGCTGTTTTTCCCCCGAATAATTTATGTGTCTAACAAAAGCTCAATAAAAAATTCCCTTGGAACTTACTCTTAGAACCTGACAAAATGTACAGATCTAATGGAAAAATCAACAGGTGAGAAAACAATCAAATTAGAGCTTTATCTCACAACATATTTAAATACAAATTCTGCAGATGATTTAAGTAATTAAATATAAAACAAAAAATTATTAAAAAATGAGAAGAAAAGAAGTGACTGGTTAACTTTCCTGCAAAGGGAAGCACCTAAGTATAACATCAATGTAAAGGAAAAGTTTATATATAGATATATATGTCTCTCTCTATATAGTGGTATGTTACCATTTATATATATATATGTGTGTGTACATATATATATGTCTACATATATATGTCTACATAAAAACCAAAAACATCTGCATGACAAAAAAATCATATACAAAATTAAAGACAATTTACAGACCAAGAAAAAGTTTACAATGGACAAAAATTAATGTCTTTAAGTCACAGAGTATCTTTAGAGTCCATAAGAAAAATACTGACACTCCCACAATTTAACAGAAGACATACACAGATAATGCTCTATAAGATGATGAATGGTTAAATAAATGTGAAAAAAATGTTCAATATTATTAATCAGGGAAATGTGAATTAAAACCACAATAAAATGCTTTTTTCCCCCACTTATTTGAAAAGCTCACATTCAAAGCTCACAAGGTGGCAGTGAATAAGAGAAGAACTGAGACCACTCTTTGTTCCAGTGTAAGATTCTGTATACTTTCTGTGAAAGATCTTCCCACAAATATGTATTTGGAAAATTCAGTTATAAACTGGGAAGCCCACATCTAAAATCCATTCTAAGGGAGCAATAAAAGATATGAGCAAACATTTACTTGTAATCTGATTCTTCAAACAGTGAACATTTGTAAGCCATCTAAATGTCCACAATGGGGTCATGGTCATTAAATAATCACATATCCAAAGAATTAAAAATGACCATCATTAAAAAAGCATATTTATGAAGCCTACTTTAGTAGCCTGGGAAAAGACTCACAAAATGATGTTGCCAAGAAAGAAGATGATACAATTACTATTATAATTCCTTAAAAAAATTATTATTATAAGAACATGTGCCATAGGATCTCCGGGTAATGTCAAGTTGGAGATTACAATTTTAATTTAATACCTTTCTCTATTTTCTACAACAAACGCAGATTCATAGAATAGAAAATATTCAACAAAAGATTTATCAAAAGCTCAAGGCTTTTAAAAAGTAGTGGTTTCTCTGATCGCTGTAATCGGATTTCTGTCCATACGCTGGAAACCATGTTGCTGTTGCTACCATGTGGCAGAATGGCATAGAAGAATAGGCATACACTCAAATACTGTCACATGTCAGTTTATTGAGGAAACTGGGATGCTAGCTAGAGGTTAACTCTATTCTCTTGATTACTTTTCATGATGCCAAACAAGAGTCTGAAGACCACAGGCCATGAAAGTTACACAATGACTTTCCTACATTTTGTTCAGAAACACAAAAATCAAATACCAAGAAATGTTCGACTCTGCAAATTGCCCTCCTTTTTTTTTTTTGGTAACTAAGGGTCAGGAAGCACAGTGGTGTGGGGGAAGGACAAATATGGAACATGTAACAGGCAAATATTCTTGCTAGATTTCATTTTCAAAGTTTCAGATCTTTCCAATTTTTTTTTTATTTTTTGTAGCAAAAAAGGAATCAATACTTTTCATTCCACTCTTGTCAACTTTAGCCAAAGCCTTCTGAGCTGCAGTCATTTTGCTATTTTTCTGTTAAGGAAAATAAGAGAAAAACTGTTACAAATGTAACCTTTATAAATCATACATGCAAATCAAACAAGACCATGCTTGTCTCAAAGTTCATGAAGAGAAGTATTTGCTGTTAACATGCTTCATAAGGGATTGATTATTATTATTATTATTTTTTTAATTCTGATTTCCATTCAGAATTCGGATCTAAGACACAAAATCTGGTAAAAGAGGCAGGAGAAAAAAATCGCTGCCTTCTAAGGAGTGGAATGTTACAACCAACGGTTTACTTTGGGGGAGTAATTCTGGAGGGTATATTAAGTACAATAACACCAATAAAGGAGCTGACTCAGGCAGTGATTGTCAGAGGAGGAATTCCAGCCTAGTATTACTGCGTGATGAATAATTCACCACAATGGACTGTTGCATTTTATTCATAGGCTCTACGGGAAACCAAGGACAACACCATTATATTAAAAAAATAACTTGTACTGTAGAGCATCGGGGCCAGCAGGATAACTGCCCTGGTTTTCCTCCAACAAAGAAATCCTTTTCAAAAAGCTGACTTCAAGTAACTCTGCCTTTGAAATTCCTCTCTCTTCCTGGTCACTGTTTTTTCTGTTTGTTTGTTTTGCTTTGGTTTGGTTTTGTGCCGTGTCCTGGAACTATCACTACTAGAAGGTAAATAGCAGCTGATTCTACTTCAGCGCATCTCAACTTCTCCAGCAGAAGCAAACATGATGGGACTCAGCAAAGGAAAAAAAATGACGTCTCCCTGAGACTGTGAGACAGTCACTGCCAAAGAACCTTTAAAGGGCACAGTATATGATCCTGGAAATCTTGCTTCTCACATTCTGTCGCTTACATTTTAGGAGGCTTGTTTTTTGACTGGATGGTGAAAAGTGACAGTCTCTTTGAAACAAGTTATCCCCTGTATTTAACTGACATCCTGGTCCAACCCCTTATTTCCCTGGGGCTGTGCCCAAGTAGATACAACAAAAAGCGGCAGTTACAAGGGTGGGGCAGAATTAGTTCTCCCAGAGAAACTCAAAAACATCCCTGCTTACAGAAGCCATAGAGATAACTAGCCATCTTGCCAAATCTCAACTGGGATTTATCCCCTGACGTCACATGCCCAGATAAATTGCATATAGATCAAAGAATAAAATTTATAAAAAACATTAAATGCTAAGGGGGGGTAAATGTTAAAATCTAAGAGGAAGTGAGTTTATCTTGGGATGGGCAAGCATAAAAATAATGAGAAAGTCACAAGGAAAACCAATTCCTACATTTAATCCTCAGAAAAACTTAAAACTTTAAAAAATCGAATGAAAAGGCTAAACACAAATTAGAAAATTATTTGCACCCTATATGTCGTGAAGTGTTAATAATTCCTAATCTAGAATAAGCTCTTAAAAATCAACAAGAAAAACACTACTATCCCAATACAAAAAACAGGCAAGGGGCATGAACTGACAATTTCCAAAAATGCAAATGGACAATAAGCATTTGGAAAAACAACTAACCCTTCTCACCAAAGAAATGTACTGTAATTAGACAGTCAAAAATTTTCAAGAATAAAAATAATATTCAGTGTTGTCAAGAAAGCAAGATGAGCAATCTTGCAGCAATAACGGTTGGGAATTCAAATTTCTACATTTTTGGAAAGCATTTTATATATATATGTGTGTGTATATATACACACACACATAATCATATATATGATTATATCTGATGTATATCATATATATGATAAAATCATATATTATTATGTATGATACAGTATATATGATAAAATCACAATCATATACACACACACACACATATATATATTCTCTCAATAATCATGGAAAGAGCTCATGTTTTCTAAGCCCTTACTCTTAGTTCTAAATTGTGTCTAATGAAATAATCAGAGATACAGACTATAAATGTTTATCACCTCATTAAAACAAAGAATGAAAAAAGCAGAAGTAACCTATGTGTCCAAAAATAGGGGAATGACTAAATAGATTATATTCCATATGGTGAAATAAAATAATACAAATGATTGAATATCATGAAACCATTAATAATTTGTCAAAGAATGCCTAATGACATGAGAACATTTTCACAATATAGTGCTAAATGAAGAGCATAGAACCCCAAACTGTAAATATATTAAAATGCCAATTTTAAAAGCTATGTATGTATTTATAATGTATGTATTATATAAAACTTTGTAAGAAAGGTTATGAAAATATTTGTTGGGGTGATTGCTGAATGGTAGGGTTATTAATAATTATTATCATCATCATAAATTCTGGGAAGCTTCCAGGCAGTAGAGTTGACAAAAAATGACCTGTGGAGGCTCCCTCCCTCTGTGCCCCCACCCCTGCTCTAAATATAGATGGCAAAGTGTAGGCATGCTCTGGCTAAGTATATTGCCTTGCTTGGTTCATAAAAAGTCTTCCTGGCTTGACATATTCATTGTCATTCACAATTTTGAATTACTGAGTCACAGAAATGCAAGTTAATAATCCTTCATGGTTAAAAATCACCATCAAGCATGAAATCATTCCTGGATGTCCTCATGCAGGATCACCTACTGAATCCAGGAATGTACTACTACAGCTGGACACACATACCTTTTCAGTCTTCCAATCTTTCCTGTTAAACTTAGTGTAATCTTCTTTTGCTTCTACAGGCTCATCAGATAACTTTACTTTCTGCAATGTTAGAGCAGTGAAGTGATGTCAAATGTCACCTCGACACATCAATCCATTTTTAAAAAAACAATGGGGTCAATTTGGACCCGCATCAAGGCCAAATGGAACAGCAGACCCTGCAAAGGGGGCTTACTCTGCATTTTGCCAATTATCTGGGAGAATGAAGCCACATATACCTTCTGGGAAGCAGCCTCGGTGATGGGGGTATATGATAGGGTGAGTCCATGACCCAGCCTGGTGGGCAGTCTAGTGGTACTGATCACATACTTTGTATGTACCAGGACTGGGAGGCATCTGGACGACTGCGGACTTCCAGGACAGTCTAAGGGGGTGAAGGCAGGCACAGAAGTCAAAGACAAGAATTTCCTTTAAGGGGCCAGGTATCCAGCTAGAACCCCCACTTCATTCACCTTCTGGGCTGGGGGTGTAATGTCCATTTAGGAATAAGGCACAACATTATTCTGTTATTACCATTTTTGTATCGCTTCATGTTCTTACCTCCTTTCAATTCAACTATCTCATTTTGTCCACACAAGGACAACCTTGCAAGGCAAGCAGCCAGAAGGAGAAGGAAGCACAGAGAGATTAAACAAATGACTTAAGCCCACTTAGCAGAGGACAAGGCGTGAGAGCTTCATTTCTGTTCAAGTGTTCTTTCCATGAGGCCCAATATAACTAAGTCCACCTTTACTTCATGTTTTTACCTTTCACATGAGCATTCTGCACCAATGAACGTGGGAACCTTGTCAAGAGCTAGACTGTGGCTTTAATGTTCACATTATGGAAGGAATTGTGACACATTTACTATGTAAAAGGCACATAACAGGGCAGGTAAGTCTTGATATTTAACACAGAGAATTGACTGCACGTGACCACAACTTGGATTTTTGCAGATCTTCAAGTTCTTTGTGGAGACACCAGGGTTGAAAGACCCAGTGTGGATCTTCCTCAGGAAATGCAGATTTATTCCCAGCTTCCCTCTTCCTACCCCAGAGTTTGTTAAGCAAAGAGCTGTACAGTTAGTGTTAAAAGATGCCACGGCACATGTATAAAACCCAACGAGGTAAAACAACGTGTCCTGAAATTCTTCGCTGTAAAAAAACAGGGGGGCATCCTGGAAATACATAACATCATGTGGCATCACCTTCTCTTGGTCACCCAGCAATCTCTAGCAAATGAATCTTCAAAAGAAAAAGACTAGCTTATCACGAACGAACTACTACCAGCACAGTATGTATATAAGCAATTTCCTTAAGAATATGTTTCTACTTAAAAATTAAGATCAGTAAAGGGCATTTAGGTGATGCATATTTTTGCTAGAAAAGTATCTTCAACCAGGAGAGTGGAACTCACAGGTAATAACGATTAAGGCTGTAATTGTCTCAAATTGCAAAAAGCTTAAAGTTATAAGATGGTTTGCTCTCCTCTGTGGCAAAATGTCCTACTTTAGGTGTCATTATAAACACTTGGGCATATTCACTTTTTGCAGGTAAGTCAAACGAAAAAATGTTCAAGGCAAGAGCTTAAGATGAAAAGTGCTTCTTCATAAATATGCAGTGGTTAATAAGATGATGGACTTGCTCAGGTGTTTTAATGGCTCCTATCAAACAGGACACCAGTAATTAGTGCTCGTAAAAAATAAAATTATTGTGGTGGGCCTCTGCACTGAACTTTTTCTAATGTTACTCACAGCACATGCTGAATATGTTTGAAAGAATCACAACTGTTACACTTATTTGAATTGTTGTTATTTAAAAGACCAAACAGGGGCGCCTGGGTGGCTCAGTCGGTTAAGGGTCGGACTCTTGATCTCAGCTCAGGTCTCTATCTCAGGGTTGTGTGTTTAAGGCCCGCTTTGGGCTCTGCCTACTTAAAAAAAAAAAAAAAAGACCAAATCGCTACAGATGTCAGGGGATGTTTCAGAACAAACAGAAAAAGGGCTCAGAAAGACAGTATCAAAGGCTATGACTGAATGGGTACAGTTCTGGAAGGAGAAGAACAAACAGCAGAGTACCACAGGAATTAATGCTAGGACGGGTCTTATTCTTACAGATGATCTGCAAGAAGGAACTCAAGAGTATCTCCAATCCACTGACTGCACTCAGTTCTGCCAGCTGACAGCGATAAATTACAACGATGGGAGGGAGCAAGGGTTGGAAGCTGAGCTTCGACACAGGCAAATGTGATAGTAAGGAAATAATGCAAAACACATTAAAGATGACAGGTTTTATACTATCATTACAAACAGATACAAAGATACCTAATGACCACTGGAATGGATTTCCTGAAAACCATCAACCATATTACTGTAAAAGTCAATCAAATCTGGGACACAGACAAGAAGGCTAGCAGAAGATGTTATCCTAAACTTGTTTAAAGTGTGGTACATCATCCAGTGCAGTTTGCACTCCATACACTAGAGCCCCAGCAAGATATAATAGACCAGGAGACCTCGAACAGCAACTAAACAATCCAGGAGATGAGGCTGAGATTTAGGAGAAACAGGATTGTGAGATCCAAATCAGGGCTTGGCAAACTGCCCACGGGCCCAGCCCCGCCGGCCGCCTGTTTTTATAAATGAAGTTTTGCTGGAACACAGCCGCCCGCATCCGTTTATGAATCGTCTGTGGCGGTCTCTGAGCTACCACAGCAGAGCTGAGGAGCTGTGACAGAGACCATCTGCCTTGTGAGGACTCAAACAGTCACAAGCTGGCCTTTACAGGATAAGCCTGCCGACCCCTGACCTAAATCATACACGATGACATCACAAACGATTTAAAGTTTGGAAATTAACATAGGCAAACAGAAAACCGGGTTAAAAGTTAACGTAGGAAATGCATTACCCCGGATGGTATCAAAGGCCAAAACCTTCATTCATGAATGATCTCTAAGTTCCTAAGGAAGACAGATATTTGGAAGAAAGAAAGATGCTTCGTTTTTGGAAGCAGAAAAGTAAGAGAGGAACACATATGCCCATCGTCTTAGTTCCAGCAAGGCAATCATGCCTCTATTCCCTAGAGCTACTGTCAGAGATGAACTACTAGACTGGGAGAAGTATGGGTCTGACCTAGAATGACCTTGGGTCTTACAGCAACTGACCTCTGCCCAGTGCTATTCCTCCTAAGGGAAAAGGATGGCCCTCCTTTGACAGCCTGCTGAAAATGGCCCACAGCTAAGGTTGATGCACTTGAAATTTTCTGTCCTTCTCATAAGTCAAAGTAATGAGTGCTTCTGGAACCACCACCACCTCCAAACAGGACATGATACAAAAAAAGCCCCAAGCATGTTGGCCACCTTGAAGGCAGGGAAAGAGGAAAATTCTTTAACATCCACTTTCCATTCTCAAGGCATCCATTATTCTGTCGGCAAGAGAATGACCTCACTGACGAGCTGGTTTATTTCCCTGCCTCTGAGCAGCGCTCACTTGTCTGAGATCAGGCCTGGACTGAGGGATGCCGCGATTTGCCATCAGGTGTGGTTTATGGCTGGCTTCCCCACTCTCTGTATCTGGGAGACAAAAACAAGCTGCAGCCCACGAAGCCGAGGAGCTGTGGGTGGCAGTTTGAGAACATCCGGAAGAGGAAGGGGTTTTTGCAATACACAAGTTGCGTTGATCATTCCAAGCACAGGAAAAAAAAAAAGTTTGGCTATCCTTGCTCAAAGGGATTCTTTGTGTTGCAAAAATCTGTTCACCTGTTCACCTCTGCGCCAGTAACAATTAGATCTGGCCAAATGAGTTTTAGTTATACGTTGAGTATTCCTGATGATTAATAAAGTTAATTGCAGGACCTGGCTAACTTAAGAAGGCCGAATTTTAATTATATATCTATGAGACTTTTAGGTAGGTGTCTGGCTACAACCAACTCTTATCTGGTTTTCACAGTGTTTTTTTTATCATTCAGGTAAAATCTACAAAAATAAAAATTACCGATGGAGAGCTCATTACAATCTTTAATCCACATAACATCACTCCACCCAAGGAGGATTTAGTATGCTTTAAAATGGACTAGAACACACTAAACCTATGTGGTAAAAATGTACTGTCTTTCCAAGTCCCCCAAAGATATCTTAGTAACAGCTCCTTACCTTTGATGGAGGGTTTGGCAATGACGCTGAAGGTTTCGGAAGCCTATGGAATAAAAAATAAGAATCATAGTTATGGTTTTTCATAGACAAGCAAACAGAGAGACTGGGCCAACTGAGGACTTAGCAAGTGCTACTTTCATGGACTAGCTTCTCCTCCATGTGTCCTCCTGGACTATCACCTCAGTGTAAAGAATGACATTTCTCTAAATGAAGAAATCTACATTTTCTTCACATTGGAATTGTCTGAACTAAAAAGTAAATTAGAACTTATTTGTTGCAATGGAACTGCTTTTCTTCAGCCTCTATAAATTTACATTTTGGCGTTGTAGTATTTTTTCCTTCATAAATGACGAATCCAGCATATATTTTTTTTAATTTAAATACAATTTAATTAACATAGAGTGGAATCCAGCATATATTTAAAAGTGAAAATTATTTTAACTGTTGACAAAAAGTCAGACAAACTTGACTTTTCTTCAATTAAAGAGAAGTTTAAATGACATATCTTCCTCCGGGAACCTTTAATCAAAAGCTAATCACTTCTGAGGAGAAAAGATTCTAAAAAATAATGGGAGTACAAAGACATAGGTCTCGAATGAGACAAACAGGCACTGAGAAACCCAGGGAAATATTGAACAGAAAGATAGGGTTATCAATTTCCACCAGTTTCCACTAATTGTTTTTCTTTTTTCACTAATTGTTTTTTAAAGACCTATGCAATTTGCTAAAAACAGCAACTATGTATCTCTTAAGAAGTCACTTTATCTTCATGTATCAGAGGAGAAAGCTATTATAAGAATCTGGAAACGCTATTATCACACTCATAAAATCTTAAGAATAGTTGCTAAAATCTAGAAAAGAAACATATTCTTTTCAGCCTAAGGTAAAGTCTTTATATTATATTAAATATCTTTATGAAGGATATAATAACACAGAGCAAATCATTCTTAAACCCATTTTCTACCCTCAGACATAGATTGTGTTTTATCCTTTGAGTTCCAAGTGCTGGGCATAATAAAGGTACTTGGCAAACATCTAATGACAGTGAAAATGGTACAAAACCTTTAAATGTAACTTTCAAAAATATTCTAGGGGTGCCTGGGTGGCTCAGTCATTTAAGTGTCTGCCTTTGGCTCTGGTCATGATCCCAGGGTCCTGGGATTGAGTCCCTCATTGGGATCCTTGCTCAGCGGGGAGTCTGCTTCTCCCTCTCCTTCTGTCCCTTCCCTCCACCTCCCCCATCCCCCACTCTTGCTCTCTCTCTCTCTCAAATTAAAAAAAAAAAATCTTTAAAAAAATATTCTACATTCCATCTCTTGTTTCTTCTAATCTTTATTTCTCCTAAAATGATCTTCACATTAGTGAAGTCTAACTGGAGAAAAAAATAGTATAATGTTAACACTCTAAAATCATACCAACCCATAATTCCAGTCCTAATACTCATCAGTTTCTGCAATCAGTATCCACCAAATCAATTTGTTCCAATAAATCAGTGTCTATTAAAAATCACCTTCAAACCATAGTCTAGGAGGTAACTCAAGAATAATTTATCAGAAACAGTGATGTGATAAAGTCATTAAGGAACCTATTGCTGGGAAACCAAGAAGCACCAAGGTACTTTCTAATTGTGACTAAAGATGAACGATACTTACTTTAAATATTTTGATAAGTCATCACTTAATTCTTTAGGGATATAATCAGATATCAGACCATGTGCATAACGAATATAATCCTCTGAAAGAAATAGAATGGAGAGTATAAGGAAAAAAAATTAGTAACAGCTATGGTAGTTTTACAGTCAAACTGACCAGAGTTAAAATTCCAGCCTATCCGGCCTTAGAGACTCACTTAAGCTCTTAGCTAGGATGGGTGACCTTGAATAACTCATCTACTCTCTGAGACCACAGTTCTTCACTTTTAAAATGAGATCTGTCTAAATAATCTCTAACATCCCTTCACCTTCTTTAAAAAAAAAAAAATCTATGGTCCATCCATCCACTCCTTCTCTTTTGTTAAAGCCAGTCAAAAACCGTGAGAGCTGGTAAACTCAGTGTGGCCAAAGCTGTCCACTATTTCCAGAATGGCAGGAGTCCTCTACCATCTACATGTGCAAGGTGTTTTAAGGTAGATTTCTGCAAATCAAAAACTGACTGAATTACCTTCAATCACAGACTCCTGGTCCTAGTTTTTTTTTTTTTT